GGGGGGGGGGCTCTGCAACTTACCTGGTTGCTTCTTGCTCCTCGTGGCCTGGCTGAGGGCTGCTGGGAGCAGGGGGCGGGGCTTGCTGCATGTGCCCAGCCCCCTGGGCTCCTTACTGCCGGAGCTCCGCTCCTGTGCACTCCCCTGGTCCAGGCTCCTGCCAGGCTGTTGGCCGTCAGGTTGGTGGTGCCGTCGGTGTTAGGGCCTATTTATGTGAGGAACGGGGACAAATCGCCATTCAGGTTTGAAGCTCAGTGAGTGGGAGAACCGGGTTTGATTTCCCCACTCCCCTGCATGCAGCTGCTGGTGTGACTGTGGGTCGGTCACAAGTTCTCTCAGAGCAATCCTCTCTGGAGCAGTCCTCGAAAGAGCTCTCTCAGCACCCCACCTACCTCACAGGGTGTCTGTTGTGGGAAGGGAAAAGAGAAAGGAGATTGTAAGCCACTCTGAGATTCCTTCAGTAGTGAAGGGCGGGGTATGAATCCAATCTCTTCTTTTCTTCTTCTCTGGAATGCCTTTCTTCTAGAATTGACTTATTTATTTCCGTTCTTTATAGTCCCAGGGATCCAAGGTAGATTACACATAACGAGTCAATGCAGTGAACAAAATGGGTCATTCAGTTAGGACTTTAGACGTCCAGAACTATCAGAAAGAACTGAAGCACAGCGTTAGTGTTCACGTGACACATTAAGGTGGTACAAAACGTCTAGCATCAGTCGCAGTCGCGGACATCTTTTGAGTCTGACGGGTGATCCGTAAATTCGGGAGAACGAGATTTTTTCCCCCTCCACAAATGGTCTTCCTAACCATCCGTGCCTGTCTCTCACTGTCCACAGTGAACCGCCTGGATTCCGTGTCCTGGCGAGTGGATTACACTCTTAGCTCCAGCGAGCTCCGGCGGGTCAACGAACCGGTCGTGCATCTCAAGCTTAACACGCAGAACGTTGACAAAGGAGCCTTGGAACCGGTGGTGATGATGCTGTCGGCGGAGAAGTTCCGTGTCTTACTTGCAGGTTTGTTTGGGTTTTTTGCCGTCTGGTCCCAGCCGACTTACGGCAACCCCCTAGGGTTTTCAAGGCATTCAGAGGTGGTTTGCATAATAGGCCACACCCAACAGCAGGAACTCATTAGCATGTTGGGCCACACCCCTGATTAGCACATTAGGCCCCACCCCCATGTTACCAGAAGTGTGGTTATCCAGCCACACCCACCTTTTGTTTGTTATTCTGTTTACCTTGTTTGTTGCCAAAACCCAGGGCTTTTTTTGTAGCAGGAACTCCTTTGCCTGTTAGGCCACACACCCCTAACGTAGCCAATCCTAATGAGTTTCTGCTGTTGGGTGTTGCCTATTATGCTAATGAGTTCCTGCTGGGCGTGACCAACTTGGGAGCCAGCCGGAACTCCGTTCCTGTGCGTACAAAATAGCCCTGCCTGCCTCTGCATAGCATCCCTAGACTTCCTCGGTGGTCTCCCATCCAAGTACTAACCAGGGCCAACCCTGCTTAGCTTCCGAGATCTGACGAGATCGGGCTCGTCTGGGCCATCCAGGGCAGGGCAGGTAGGACACTAGAAATCAGAACATCAGAAGAGCCCTGCTTGATCAGACCAGTGAAGGTCATAAGAACATAAGAGACGCCAATGTTGGATCAGGCCAAAGACCCATCCAGTCCAACACTCTGTGTCACACAGTGGCCAGAAATACCAGGTGCCATAAGGAGGTCCAGCAGTGGGGCCAGGACATTAGAAGCCCTCCCACTGTTGACCCCCCCCCCAAGCACCAAGGAGACAGAGCATCACTTGCCCCAAAGTCCCTATCTATACCTTGTGGGTAATAGCCACTGATGGACCTCTGCTCCATATGCTTATCTAATTCCATTTTGAAGCCGTCCATGCTTGTAGCCGCCACCACTTCCTGTGGCAGTGAATTCCAAGTGTGAATCACTCTTTGGGTGAAGAAGGACTTCCTCTTATCCGTTCTAACCAGACCGCTCAGCAATTTCATGGAGTGCCCACAAGGAGTTCTTGCATTGTGAGAAAGGGAGAAAAGTACCTCTTTCTCTACCTGCTCTTTCCCATGCATAATCTTATAAACCTCGATCATGTCACCCCTCAGTCATCATTTCTCCAAGCTAAAGAGCCCCAAGCACTTTAAACTTTCCTCATAGGGAAAGTGTTCCTCATAGGACCTTTCCTCATAAGGAAAGTGGTCCATCTAGTCCAGCACCCTGTCTCACACAGGGGCCAACCAGTTCCTCTGGAGGGCCAACGACAGGGCGCAGAGGCCTTCATAAGAACATCAGAAGAGCCCTGCTGGATCAGACCAGTGGCCCATCTAGTCCAGCCTCCTGTCTCACACAGGGGCCAGTCAGTTCCTCTGGAGGTCCAACAACAGTGCAGAGAGGCCGAGGCCTTCATAAGGACAGCAGAAGAGCCCTGCTGGATCAGACCAGGGGTCCATCTACTCCAGCATCTTGTGTCACACAGTGGCCAACCAGTTCCTCTGGAGGGCCAACAACAGGGCAGAGAGGCAAAGGCCTTTCCCTGATATTGTCTCCTGGCTCTGGGATTCAGAGGCTTGAGTGCCTCTGAATATGGAGGTTCCCCTCAGCTACCATGGCTAGTAGCCATTGATAGTCTTATCCTCCGTGAATCTATCTAATCCCCTTTGAAAGCCGTTTATTCCCGTGGCCATCATGAAATCCTCTGGCAGTCAATTCCACATTTTCATCACTCTCTGTGTAAAGTAGTGTTTCCCTTTGTCTGTCCTGACCCTACTGCCCATCAGCTTCCTTGGATGCCCTCAAGTTCTAGTCTTTTGGGAGTGGGAGAAAAAGTTCTCTTTTACCACTCTCTCCACCCCGGGCATAATGTTATGAATCTCTACCATGTCTCCCTCCGTAGTCTTCTCTGTTTTAAACAGAAAAGTCCTGGACTCTTCAGCCTTTTCTCCTAGAGAAGGTGCTCCAACCCCTGAATCACCTTGCTTGACCTCCTCTGTACTTTTCCCAGCTCTGCAGTGTCCTTCCAGTTTGGTGTAGTGGTTAAGTGTGCGGACTCTAACCTGAGAGAACCGGGTTTGATTCCCTACTCCTCCACTTGCACCTGCTGATGTAACCTTGGGTCAGTCACAAGCTCTGGCACAGCTGTCCTTGGAAAAGAGCAGTTTCTGTCAGAGTTCTCTCAGCCCCACCCACCTCACAGGGTGTCTGTTGTGGGGAGGGGAAGGGAGAGGAGTTTGTGAGCCGCTCTGAGACTCCTCTGGGTAGTGAAGGGCAGGGTATGAATCCAATCTCCTCCTCCTCCTTCTTGAGATACGGTATAGCTGATCGTTTCATAGGGTAAAGGTAAAGGTTCCCTTGCTCGAAAGCCAGTCGAATCCGACTCTAGGGTTGCGGTGCTCATCTCCGTTTCAAAGCCGAAGAGCCAGCGCTGTCCAAAGACGTTTCCGTGGTCATGTGGCCGCGGCACCCGGGTCTTGAACCGCTGAACTACTGACCTTCCACAGCCTGCAGTTCAGCGTCTTAACCACTTGAGCCACCGCAGCTCAAGTGTAAAGAAGTCCAAATGTTGGTTTGGTCTTAAAACGGATTCTGAGGTTGCCTGGGATCAACATTATAGCATGCCCCTGCGGCTGGCAGGCTGTTTCTTCTCCCGACCGTGATTTACACTGTGGCCCATCCGTCCTCGTCTCCTTCTCTTCCCTTCTTTCAGAGCTGAGGCAGGCCCACGCCCTTCTGAAGACACTCGACTGAGGAGCATCACAGACGGAGCGCCTCGGAGCCGGAACGAACCAATCTTTCGGCACCCTGGGAAGTTTTCAGTGGACGATTGCTCTGCGAGGGGGGGCCCCGTGCACACTGACCCTTGCCCCCCGTCGGCGTGGAGGCCGTTGCCACAACCCATTCCTCCTCGTGGGATCCTTGGGCTGAAAACCGAGGCCGATCCCGCAGTTACATGGCCGCCGTGGCCCCCAGCCGGTCCCGTATTTCTGTTACAAAACACCTTCCTGTTGTTGTTCAGCTCCCACCAAAGCCCAGGCGCCATGAAATCCGACGGACTCGCCCTCTTTCTCCTAGATTTTTCACCGTCGGCGGAGCAGGTCGAGGATGGTCTCCCCTCCGTGGCTAGGGAGAGGTCCCCTTTGGAAGGAAGTCCCTTGCCCAACCACGCTGTCCCAAGTAAATGGCAGTCGTTCCCCAGCAAGGAGAAACGGAGTAAAGGCCATGCGACGCAGTCCCTGAGATGGGGCTACCTCGTTAGGCCTGCTGGAAATCTGTGCAAAAATTGTACAGGTCCTCCAAAAACAAGCCACCTGCAAGCTCTTTTGTTCGGGTCTGAAGCTTTACCTGGTCAGTTCACGTGTACAGGAGACCCCAAGAGTGTCAGCGCTCTTGTGACTTCGTAGCGGCAGATCTCGATGGGGTTCCACACTGCCCTTGATCTTCTCTGTCTGACCTTCCAACCGACTTCTTCTGGCTGCTGTTTCTTGGATCCATCTTCGGGCTCACCGGGGACTTCTCTCTTCTTCTCATTGAGCACGGGGACATCTTTTTTTAGAGGCACTGATGGGGCGACGCCCACCCTCTTCCCAAATGTGTGCTTTTCGGCTCGCGGTCCTCTCGGCAACAAATCTGGAAAGCTGCACATCTCTTAAGCATTTGTAGCTCATGGTTGAAGCATGAAGTTGTTCCTTGGTTTAAAATAATGTACTTTGGGAGGGATGGGAGAAAATAAATCTTGGTGTATTGGGAAGGCTGGTGGTGAGCTGGACGGATGTAGTCTGTTTTGGGGAGGGGCGGTGGCTCAGTGGTTAGAGCTTGGCATGCAGAAGTTCCCAGGTTCAATCTCCAGTTGAAAAGATGAGTTAGGAGAAAATGAGAAGGAGCTGAAGCTGGGAGTTTGTATTTTGTGCGTGTGTGTGCACATGCACCCGGATGTCACATTGATCTCTGGTGACTGACCCCTACTGGGTGCCTGGAGGATATTCAGAGAGGTGGCTGAATAAAGCCCGCCCCCACCTCCCGCCTCTGGTACTCCAAGGAGGTCTCCCATCCAAGTGCTAACCACAGTCGACCCTGCTTAGCTTCCAAGATCGGACTTGGCTGGGCTATCCAGGTCAGGGTAGTGAAATTGAAATATGCATATTCTCAGAATTTCAAGGTCAGGGCCAGTGTTCCCTCAGCTGAGTTAGTGTGAGCCAGCTCACAGTTTTTTAGCCTCCAGCACACACGTTTTTGTCTTAGCTCAGGAAGGAGGGCTCCAGAGCAAACTAATTTATGCACTACCCAGATCTCTTGCTCACAACTTTAATGCCAGTCGCTCACCAGGTAGAATTTCTGCTCACAAGACTCCACGACTTAGAGGGAGGATTGGTCAGGGCTCAGGGCAGTGATTTGAGACCGTGAAGTGTAGCCATCTCCGTGCTCAGCAATCCAGACAATATTTAATTTTGTTTCCCCACAGCACCGTCCTCAACGTAAGAACATAAGAACATAAGAGATGCCAATGTTGGATCAGGCCAAAGGCCCATCCAGTCCAACACTCTGTATCACACAGTGGCCAGAAATACCAGTGCCATCAGGAGGTCCACCAGTGGGGCCAGGACATTAGAAGCCCTCCCACTGTTGACCCCCCCAAGCACCAAGATGACAGAGCATCACTTGCCCCAGAGTCCCTATCTATACCTTGTGGCTAATAGCCACTGATGGACCTCTGCTCCATATGCTTATCTAATTCCCTTTTCTGGGTGCGTTCAGATGGGCCGTTTTGTCCGCTTTCGGCACGTTTCAGTAACGGGTTTTATACCCACGTTCACACACCCAGCATCTGCGCACCGTCCCCGGCAGTGTTCCCTCTAAGCTGAGTCAGTGTGAGCTAGCTCACCGTTTTTTAGCCTCCAGCTCACACATTTTTTGCCTTAGCTCAGGAAGGAGGGCTCCAGAGCAAACCGATCTCTGCAGCAGCCAAATCACTCACAGTTTTAATGCCAGTAGCTCACAAAGTAGAATTTTTGCTCAGAAGTCTCCGCAGTTTAGAAAGAGCACTGGTCCCCCAGCCGTTGCTTTCCGGCTCAAACCCCCTTTAAAACGGAGTATTTTGTTACCAGGTCCCCAAGTGGTGTTTTCCCGATTCTCCGGTTCTAGCCGCACTTTTCTGACGTTTCCTGCGGTGTCGAGCCGCTTCTGCTCTTCGCCTGCCATTTTATTTTAGCATTGGAGGTATGCGCACAGGCGGAGCTCCGCTCCCACGTTATTTAAAACAATGTTTTTTTAAAAAATATATTTTTATTGGGTTTTTTGACATAAGGAAACACACAAAACACATATACAAGTACCCCTCCACCCACCAACCTCATCCAAAAACTTGATATTTCCCTACCACCCTAATACTTAACTTCTAACTACATTTCATACTTCTGACTACCGATGAATTCTTCACACACTATTGTCTCCTAATCTGTATTTATTATCCAACCATCTATTTCATCACATGTAATTTATTTTTTATTCCTGTTGGAATTTCAATATCTATATTTCATTTCTAGTTATACTTTAACTCAATCAATAATTTTACTCGATCAGTCACAAGCACTAGGATCTCTACTAGAACCAAATATTGGTTTGCTTTTATACCAAACTTATAGCTCCGAAAGAGCGCTCACGAGCCGGGTGTCTTGGGAGCTCCCAAGAAACACGCCCGTAGCGCAGCGCCTTGCCACCGGAAGTCTTTATTAAAAACAATGTTTAAACGGTGCCTAGTTTTGTTGGTTAGACGAGTTCGGGATCTCACGGAGGCCAGTTTCGGGGTAAAAGTTTAAAGGGAAGTGTTCCAGCAGTTGGGTTGAAGTGGAAATCGATGTTCTGCGCACGCGCAAAATTTTAATTCTACAGATGGCTGCCTGTGCGCATGCCCAAACTGAGAGGGGGGAAAAACCACCGACTCGCACACTCCCACGTGTGGACGGCAGGGAGCGATGTGGCTGCACAGCGATCCGGAACAAGGTGAGTGTGATCGCGATTCTCCAGGTTAAAAAAACACACATTGGGACTGGAGCAATTTAAACCGCTCCCAGCGCAGCGTCTGACCGCACCCATTAAGAACAGAAGAGAAGCCATGTTGGATCAAGCCAATGGCCTACACAGTCCAACACAGGGCCCAAAGCCCAGGTGCCCTCAGGAGGTCCACCAGCGGGGCCAGAACTCCAGAAGCCCTCCCACTTTTGCCCCCTGAGCACCAAGAATACGGAACATCACTGCCCCAGACAGAGTGTTCCATCTGTACCTTGTGGCTAACAGCCACTCATGGACCTCTGCTCCAGATGTTTTGCCAGTCCCCTCTTGCAGCTGTCTATGATTGTAGCCACCGCCACCTCCTGCAGCCGTGAATTCCACCTGTTAATTCCTCTTTGGGTGAGGAAGGAGGACTTCCTTTGACCTGTTCTAAGCCCACTGCTCCTTAATTTCATGGAATGCCGGCAAAGCATCCATTTCCTCCGGGGGATCTGATCTGCGTAGTCTGGAGAGGAGCTGTAATTCCGGGGGATCCCCAGGTCCCACCTGGAGAATGACATTCCTAAGTGTCAGACTAGGTTCAAATCCCTGCTATCCCATGGACCTTGGGCCAGTCACATGCACTCTGCCTAACCCACCTCGCAGGGTTGTTGTGAGGATAAAGTGGAGGAGAGGAGAACGATGTACACCCCTTTAGGGGAGAAAAGCGGAATATGAGTAAAATTAAAGAAAGGCACGTATGACCTGGAAGGAGGTAGCGCTTCAGGAACTACAGTTCCCAGCATGCCTTGCGGCGCGTCTTGCCCAATGGGAGCAGAGCGGGCAGTCCCTGCAACTCTTCGTTTCGCTTGCGGGCGAGAACTTCGGAGCCCCTCGCCTTTTTTGCAACCCGGGTGAGTTGCTCGTCGGAA